CCCCCCCCCCACCTCCCCCACCACCACGGAAGACACAGGCTGTGGGTGGAGGCCCCGGGCCCGTGCTTGATTCATCCCCTACATGTGTCTTATTTAGCCACGAAGGCCTAATTAGAATTAATCACCAACATTAAGGCATTGGGAGATTTTGCTTGAAAATCCACATTTCCATCTTCTCGTAAAAAATCAGGCCACCTGGAACCCGGATTCCGGAATGGGCGGGCATTGAGTGGCAGGTGGGAGGCCCGAGGGGAGACCAGAGGTCTGGCCCCAGCCCCAGCCCCATTATCTTGTGCTGCCCGCTCACTCACTGGCACCTCCGGCCTGGCTTGCCACCCCTGTCCCAGGGGCTGGGTGTTTTCCACCTCCCTTCTTGCCCGAAACCGAGGCAGAGAACCCCATCCCCCAGGGCCTTACCAGAGACGTTGAGGTCTATTTTCTCCATCCATTTGTCATTCTTCGTTGTCACTCTCAGCCCAAGCCAGCCACTGTCATTGACGGACACAGGGTGGATGTGTATGGTGCAGTTGGACTTTTTGTCTCCCAGGAATTGAACCCTCTCCCAGTGAGGCAGAGTCTTCCCAGCCTTCGCGGTATCGTACAGGATGGTCCCACTGAAGTCCTTGCGGGTCTCGTCATAGTGATAGTTGTGGTACAGGGTCAGATTTTCCAGCATTTGTCTACTCCCTGGAATTTTGTAGTCACAGGGAATCCAGACGCAGGCCCCATCCCAGGTGTAGAGGGTGTGGGGGTGCTCAAACTTCCATTGAGATGAGTCAGAGAAGGCCAAGTATTCTGGAACCCACCACAGTGATCAAAAAACATTATTGAGGGGCATAAAGAGCTTTCAAATGAATAAAGAATCCCCTCTAAAGACAGAGGGAGAGAGGAAGGTACACACACACATACCCTGCCTGTCCCCTCCTCCCCAATACTTACTCTTTGCTCCAGAGCTTTCCTCCTCCTCTAGCTCCCACAGACTCCCAGAACCCAAGCCTAGGCCACAGTCCTTACCAAGGAGCAGGAACGAGGGGCCGAGGAGATGCATGGTGCTGTGTCTGGGCAGGAGCCTGGGCCGGGAAGAGTTGTCTTTGAGCCATCTGGTCACTTGCTTCTTTCAGATGGCTTTTCTTGCTCACCCACCAAACTCCAACCCCTCTTCCCTGATCCCAGGAGAACCATGTCTGCTTGCCTTGCAGGCTGTGAATTCTGGATGTTCATGGGGCCTTTTGTGGGTATGTCATGTCTATTCTCTCAGCCTAAGAACTCTGTAAGACTAGCCTGTCTCTCTTTCTAGCCCTCCTTCCTTTCTTCCATCCATCCTTCCATCCATCCTTCTATCCATCCATCCATCCGTTCATCCTTCTATCCATCCATCCATCCATCCATCCATCCATAATTTTACAAACTTCCTGCCCAGCTCTCAGGCTTTGAGTGGCACCAGACTCCTGAGTGCCTTGAATTCCAGGTCTGGGGTAACTTGAAGCTCACCTTGAGGCAACTAGTGAAGGTTCTTATATGGGGGAGAGCCATGATCAAAACTTGATTTTTAAAGACCAGGAGCAAAATAACTCTAAAACTAACAATTAAGTGTGATGCCAGGAGAGCATTTAGAGGGGTCTGGCAGCACTTCGGAGAATGTGGTCCAAGGGTCCCACTCAGATACCCCTGGGGGCTGGGTAGAAAACATAAATCAACCAGGTGGGAACAAAGGTCATGCCTTGAGTAAAGACAATGACTGTCCCGGTCCCAACCAGTTGTTGCCAAGTGGGAATGTGAGCTCAGCACTGCCTGATCTTCCAGTGCTTTAAGAGAAATAAGCTGGATTTTCCTGTGAAATGTCCTGCTTTCATCAACAAACAAACAAACAAGCAAACACGGTGCTGGCCAGTCTGCGGGCTGAAGGCAGTCCAAGGGCCCCCAGTTTGCAGCCCTGCGCATCTGTCCCTCTCTGATCAGTGAGTTTGTGTGCCACCTTATTAGACTTTTACATAGAGTTACATTTACATAGAGTTAAATTTAAGCCCCAATTTGCATGACTGGGCCCCTCCGTGCTGGTCCCTCTGGAGTTAGCAGGATGTGTGACAGAGTGTGTCTCCGGTCTCAGGGCAGACCTGCACCCCTCCCACCTGCCCTGCCAACATTTCCCACGCATCAAACACCCCTCACCCCCTGGGGCTGTTTATCTCCTCAGGCTGCATGGCTCATGCCAAATGCTGTTGGGTGGCTGGTACCCGGAGGCGTGGGGGAAGCTAGGCTGCTTGCTGAGCAGGAAGGAGGGGTCTGTCCCCAGGCGTAGTGTCTGTGCTGGCCTGGCCGGGGCTCGGGCTCGGGTTAGGGGTGAGGGGTCTGAACTGGGACAGACTCCCCAGGTAGAAGTGACACCGGCTCTGCAGGTGCTAACAGAGCTACACGCAAAAACACCTTCAAGGCCACGTCCACTTGAGAAAAGCTGGGTGAAGAAGGTAAACAGAATTCTTTACCGTGGGTCTTTCTGGTCCCTTATAATCAGCTGTGTGTGCATCACACATCTGCCGACACGGGGGCCAGAGCACAGTACGGTGCAGCACGTTGCCCATGCTTCTTTAGCCATGGAACCGATTTTACGTTTCCCGTGAGAAACTCGGCAGGGCTGCAGGGTCAGCGTTTTGAGGGATGCGCTGCGGGTCCCCTTTGGGTTTCCACAAGAGCTGTGGCAAGGGCTAGATTCCATTCTCTGGGGCAAAGACCAGCCTCCAGTAGCCGGACCGTTGTGCCCCTTGTGCCGCCAGCCGCCAGCCGCAGCTTCATGGGGGAATGCCTTGAGAACACCAGGATGGGGGGGAGAGGGCACTTCTCAGAGCAGAGCTACGTGCTCGCCCCCGGCAGCTCCAGGCAGTCGCTGGGACGTAAGAAGTGGGACCTTAGACCTGGAATCGGAAGGCTGCTGAGACAGGGTGGGGCGTGGAGGCTGGGGACAGTAGGCATTAGGCACAAAGGCTCAGGGTAAGGCCATGCTACCCAGACCCATGGTGGCCTGCTCGACATAGGCCTGCTGAGGGCCTTGCAGGATCTCAGAGCCCGCCTCCCTGAGTCCATTCTTCCCTCCTGGGCATCTGGTGACCCATCCTATTCTCAGAAGACTCCACAAGCCCATCAGAGGGCATGCTCAAAGATGGGGGTCTACATCCTGTTGATACATGGGTAAGGGGGGGGGGTCCCCGCTGTGCTCCCAGCCCCAAGAACTGTGCCTGGCACACAGCAGCTGCTCCGTGCCGGCATGCTGAATGCAAAAGAGAGCAAAATAATTTTTACCTGTTTCCTCGTGTCTTCCCTCTTCAGGGACCTTGGCAGCATCTGAGAGTGAAAGGGGAAGCACAGCGAAGGATTTTCACCCTCCTTGGCCCCACCCCTTGCCCCTGTGTGACTCTCAGGGCAACCAAGAGGCATGGTGAAGTAGGGAGGGGGGAAAAGAGGCCATGAGGGCAACTTGGGCTTGGAATCAGCTTGAAAGGAACACTCGAGTACCTACGGTCAGTTTTTAGGTTCGGTGTATGGAGTTTCTACATCAGATAGTTTCAGAGCTAGTCCCTCCACAACTTCCTCTCTATCCAGCTCTCAGGAAATGCTGATAATTTAAGCCAAGCAGATTAGAACCGCCAGCCTGCTGAAAAAGGCACAAGGCAATATGAAAGTGTTGGTAGTTTAGTGACACCATCCAGTTATTCTCATTCCTATTACTTTCTCTCCAAAGGCCAGAATGGTCGGGAAATCTGATCACTTACACTGATGCTCCAGCAGCTCCCGAGGGTTGAGGGAAGAGCTCACAGTATCAAAAGGAAAAAAGATAACTTTCATGGAGTGTTCTTGAATGGGCAAGTCTTGAGACTAGAAACTTACCACTTTCATCAGGCTTCTAGTCTGTGAGTGTCTGGAGACCAGACCCAGACATCAGGCAAAGCCATTCAAATCCTACAGATGGTCAGGGAAGTCTCTGAGAAATCTTCACCCTGGTATCATCAAACTCTACTGACTACCAGCCACTGAGAAAGGAACAGAAAAGGAGAGGGGCTTCTGGGTGGCTCAGTCGGTTAAGCATCTGACTTTGGCTCAGGTCATGATCTCACGGTTCATGAATTTGAGCCCCGCGTTGGGCTCTGTGGTGACAGCTCAGAGCCTGGAACCTGCTTTGGATTCTGTCTCCCTCTCTCTCCCCAAAATAAACAAACATTTAAAAAACAAACAAAAAAAGAAACAGAAAAAGAACAACTTATTCAAAAGACAGTAATGTTATGGGAAGGTATATTCTTCCCTATTTCTTCTGCTAAGAACAATTAAAAACTCTGGATATTATAAAATAAGCATAAAAAGACACTGAAAGACTGAGAGAAGGCACACTGGTTAGGGACCTTGGGACCTGAGGAATGATATGACCATGAATTCTCTGGGTTTTCTCTTCGCTTCATCTATCCCAGACTGAATACTGAAGAAGCAAGCAACTGGAAATGACAATGAGCACAGACAAAAAAAAAAAAAAAAGTTCCAGCAAAACTCTGCTCTTCTAGCTAAAGAACCAAGAAAGGGGCAGCCCAGAAAGACAGAAATCTTTCATGCAGTAACTGCTCTATTCCAGCGAAATGTCACAGAAAAACCTGCTGCTTCACTTCTACCCCTGACAGCAAAGGCTGAGTGTGACCCTAGACTTTCACCCTTGCCAGGCCACGACCCCATACCACATCTGAGTGGTGCCAGAGGAGGCTGAGTGTGGGGCTGGGCCCTCCAGCCCCTCTGGGCTCTTTCTCCCCACAGTGTCAGTAGAAACCACATGGGCAGCCTGAACATCCAACCCCACCCTGTGATGAGACATCATACTCCTCATTGGAGTGGTGTAAGAGGAGGTCTAGGGGAGAATCAGGACTTTGACCATCACTCAGTGATCATAAGCCCAACTTCTGTGGAATCTTCATGAAAGCCATGTGGAGAGCAATAATGATGTACCCCCTCCCTGTCCCAATCAAGATGGTATTAATGGATGCATAATGGGGAACCTGATCTTCCACCCCTGCCCAGCAATGAGAAAACTTCACACACACACACACACACACACACACACCAGCTGTCAAGAGAGGCGGAGTGGAGAACCTGAACTTCTACCCCCATTTGGCGATAATGAGGCAGTGCCCCTGTTCATTTCACTGGAACAGTGTCAGGGGAAGCTTGCTAAAACACTGATTTAAATAAGATCCAGTCCCATAAATAATACCCAAAATGTCCTGGTTTCATTTGAAAATCACTCAGCCTACTAAGAACCAGGAAGTTCTCAAACTGAATGCAAAAAGGTAATCAACAGACACAAACACCAAGATGACACAGATGTTGGAATTATCTAACAAGGATTTTAAAACAGCCATCATAAAAATGCTTCAGTGAGCAATTACAGACATGTTTGAAACCTATTGAAAAAAATAGAGTGTCAGCAAAGAAATAATAAAGAATCAAAAGGAAATTTTAGAGCTAAAAAATACAATAACTGAAATTAAAAGCCCTAATGAATGAGCTCAACAACAGAATGGAACATGGAACATTAGAAATTACCCAATTTGAAAAACAGAACAAACTGAAGAAAAAAAAAAAAAAAAAAAAAAAAAAGAAGAAGAACAGAGCCTCAAGGACATGTGTGGCTAGTATAACAAAAGATCTAACATTCATGTCATTGTAGTCTCAGGAGAGGAGAAAGAGGGTGAGCCTGAGAAAATATTTGAAGAAATAATGGCTGAAATGTTCCTAATTTGACAAAACAAACAAAAACCATATTATCTACAGATTCAAGAAGCTGAGTGAATCCCAAACAAGATTAACCCAAAGAAATCCATGTCAAGACACATACTAGTCAAACTTATAAAAATTAGACAAAGAAAAAATCTTGAAAGCAACCACAGAGAAATGATGCATTACCTACAGGGAGAAAACCCATTCAAATGACAGTAGATTTTGTATCAAAAAGGTGATAAGGTGATAAGAAAGGTGTTATGAAAGTGAAACAGCATCTCTTAGATACAGCATCTCTTA